TCAGATGTTATTCACACATTTTTCCTGTTAAAAAAAAAGACAATAATAAATTCTCTAACAAACACACACAGAAGAATATTTCACAGAGGAACAGACACCAGCATGTAACCTTCAAGTTCTCAGTTTTGAGCAGCATTCTTAAAAAGCATAGAGCCCTTCTATTCCTGCCTTCATAATTCGGTTTTATAATAGTTAAACTGAACAAAGACTATCAGTCTGTAAAGTGTTTGTACATCAGTTAATTAAATTTCTCTGGCATGCCTGTGCATAAGTCACCCAGAATGCACTGTATCAGTACCTATGCTAAAACATGATCTAGCATTACAAAACTTTCAATTCATGTACAGAATGACAAAGCTGTGTGTTATTTCAGAAGTTATTTCTTTTTCTTGTTGGATCATGCTTCTAGAGATCAACTTTAGACCAAGGGCACTGTTAGATAAATGTTAAACAAACTGCCTTTTCTACCAGGAAACAGAACATCTCAAAAGCAACAAGGAAAGACAGTGATGGACTAAGACAGGATCTAGGTCTTGTGTCTGTAGAAGGATTTCCAGGCTAATTTAAGACTTTTGATACAAAGCTGATAAGATTGGATATAGATATAAAAAATACAGCTTGAACTTCTCACCTGTATGCTAGAAAAGGCAAATCCACACAGATGCAGGCTGACATAGGTCTCCACTAGGCCAGGCAAAAGCCATCTCTTCTTTGGAGCTCTACAGTGATGTGCTCATGTGGTGGAGTTCTCAATGTCATTCTGATTCTTAGGAAATAACAGTACCAGTCTGTTTACAGCCAGCCTAGACACAGGAACTCAGATTTATTTTAAGTAAGATTAGGGTGCAGTAGTCACACTACAGGTCTTTTGAAATTAGTTTCACCCCCATGAGCAGTTTGCATAGGAACACCAAGAAGAGATTGGTGCAACACCCCCCATCTGGACAAGAACAGGAAGAAACAATCAGTAAATCTTTTTAGTGGGTATACAGATTCTTGTAACAAATCTCTTTTGCAATAGCAAATGCAAACACTGAATCACTGAAAAGCCTACCATTTACAAGACAAAAGATAACCAAAGCCTTTGGAAACAGCAGATGAAGTCATTAGTTCTCTGACTGTCCTTCAGTCTTTAATATCTTTGTCAAGTAAGTGTAAGCAAAATAGAATCTCTAGTTTGTCTTTCTCTGATTTACTGCAGTGCTACCTATAATGTTATTCTGCTTTTTTAGTATTCTCCATTGTCCACTAGGACACTGAGGCCTAGTAAAAAACAGCTATTTTAATGACTGCTCAAGCCACTAGAATAGTGATCAAGCTTCAGGCTCTATAAGCAAAACCAAGCTCCCAAATATCCTAAAATACCCACAAAGATAGCACTCAAAAGGCAGTACCTGCACTTCTGCAAGATCAGGACATCAGAGGAAAACAGTCAATCTGCAGCAGTCCAGGTTAATTGCCTGCAACTGCTAGTTTCTATTAAAATTCAGGCACTCAACATGTTTCTAGGCTATTTCTCTTTCAAATTGTTGGGGCAAAACTGACATGTTTAATTCCCTCTACAGACTTCAATACTAGTCATGCATCTTACAATCTACAGAAGTCATTAGTAAGGACAAGACTGCTTGTGTTACTAATATAGCCAAATAAAGTGCCCTACATTGTCCTTAAGACTGAGTTTCTATACTCCATCAAATAATGTATCTCACCAAGTCAGTTGTATGTAGCTAGAAAATCCAGTGTAAATATTTTCTATCCAAGTTCTATGTTTGTTGATTTAGCTGTTACTCAGAAGTATTTGTTCAAGCTCCAAGGGAGAAAACTGGGCTTTCTCTAACAAATTTAACCTTCTCCAGTAGAAGGTGAGCTGCTCTTAATATTTAAAATTTGAGAGGAAAATTCCTCAGCCTCTTTTGCTAAAAGAATATTCATTTTATAAAACCAGAATAACCCTGGTATTAGAAGTGTTGATGCCAATTTGGGTCATTTTGACAGACCTTGGCTAGGAATCAAATACACATGCCAGCAAGCCTCAGTTCCAACTCCTACTGGTAAGGTTGTAATGAGTAGTTAGGCACAGTAAACTTCTAATCTAGCAGAGCTACAGCCACACTCTAACCACAACCTTAGAGTTAAGCTCTTAGTCCTTTTATTACACTGAACTATTTGTCTGAGCAACTTTCTTCTGCTAGAGCAAAATACAAGTGTGTTACTATCACACTTAATTTCAACACCATGTATCTGTACTTTCTGTTAGCGTTCATTCTTGGTCATTAAAAAACACCAAGGTAGGAAAGGCCACAAACTATGTATTTCATATGTATAGTTTCTATTTAATTCTCTGTGAACTTTCTTTTTAAGAGGCTGTGCTTATCTCTGGGAATATGGACTGTGTTCATGTTGACATCAACTGTTTTTACTTAACCTTCATCGCAACACCCTGAAAGAAAAATAATGTAACAAAGCACCCAGTGCACAATCACAGAGTATCTGAATGACTCTAAATAATGACTTAAATGTTGAACATTGACAATGTTTATCATCATACAGAGAAATGCAACAGAAAGACATTATACTTACTTAGTAAGGTACATTTCAAGTCCACAGTAACCCTTCTGTAAGTCCTATTTCCTGAAGCATATGAGTTTATGTGCCTTACTGGGCATGTGAAAGACTTCCAGCAGAAAACATAATTAAATCATGACCAGTCTTTCTTCCTAGAACTAAGTTATACTCCATCACATATACTTTTTACACCAGTCACCAACACAGAACTAAAAGTTCACAAAGATATCGTTTAGATTTTGCCTGAGTATTTTGTTCATTAGGTAAAGCTTGTCAAAGGCAGTAATTTGTTTGAGGAATGTTTTTGTCTGTCCAAGTAAAAAAACCAACAAAGAAACCCCCACAAAACCAAAAAATGAATATTGCCTTCTGTTAGTAATGTGTTTAAGTGTACTTACTTTCAAGTATTTTTCCCCACACCCATTTTGTTCACATCCACTATCATTTTCTTACATTGCATAAACTGTCAAAAACAAACTTAACTGTAGCACATGCTTAAAATGATTGTATAGGGGCTGAAACCTAAGAAATTAATGGTTACACCATTGTGCTAAATTAAAAACAACCATAATTTTATTGCATTTTGTATCCTGTTCTTAATTTAACTGAATTTCTATTTGGGTGATCAGCAGTTGACAATGGAACAGAATAACGTGTTGTACAAAACAGTGTGCTGATTATGTTAAGAACTTTCAAGGTCACCATTTGCTCTGCTGCCCTATCACAACAGCATTTTTAAATACAGGGATTGTTCCCGTGTCTTGCAGGTTAGGCTTGAAACTCAGACTTCTGGGAGAGAAAGGAGGTTGCTTAGGTAAAGGGGAGTGGTGAGGCTAATTTAATTTCAAGCCACAACTCTTCAGGAAATGATCCATCATTCCCCATTCCTGTGGTTTTACTATTTTGATCCAAGAACATTCACAGAAAACCATGTTAGCACCCTGAGATCATTTGGCAAATGCTTTTCTGCCCATGCCAGCTATTGTTCCAGTAACAGACAACCTGCAGAGGCCCTGGATAGCTGAAATGGGAAAAAGCTCTGGAGAAGAGCAGTTGGTGAAATCCTTATTAATTTACAGCTTTTCATGTGTAGTAAGAGAGATTATAGACCTAAAAGGTTTATGGGATATGAATGAAAGTCACTTCACCTGGGAGATGACAGGTGAAAACGAGATGACTAAAGGTCTACCAAGCCAGATGAGCAATGCCCTAAATGCTAAACAGGGAGGCCAGTGAAACCCACTCAAATTCTGACTTGTAGCCATTACTCACCTGGAAACCATTAGAGCTGTGCTTTTGTTGAATCAGGGGAAGCCCCAGGTAAGCCTTTTACAGATGACTCAGAGGAGTGGCTCTGAATTGAAGCAATTTCTAACTGACAGAGATGCCAAAGACAACCTTATCATCAAACTTTGGATGAAATACAAAATAGGAAAAACTTTGTTTCCACTTCAATTAAGATGGTATTCAGGCTTACTCTAATTAATCCATTTTTTCTAATTTCCTTTAACTATTGCTATCAAACTATTTAGCTTATTAAGAACCACAGAAGATCACAGATGTAAGTAACTGCCTAACAGCTACAATGCACTTCATTAGGTACAGTCAAGCTCTTCTCCCACAGGAAGCAGGCACCAGTAATTACCCTTTCTTTAATTCAGGGGTCTCTTTCAGAGGAACAGTAGCAAACTATTCACATACTAAAACACGCTGAGAACTCTTGTCTCCTAGAACAGCATCTTCTCTATATGCATGTGAGGAACTACTACACAAATAAGCCTAATATAGCTTTTTTCTGAAATGCTGATTTTGTTAAACATTAAGCAAAGCTGTATGGTATTTTCATGCTGGAACTAAAGAAAATAAATCCAGTGATCCAGTGCCTAGAATCAAAAAACACATGGCTATTATTATGTCCTAATCACTATCTCCTTAATACCACTACGCCAGTTATCTTTTAGTGAAAGTTGTAAGGCTGATGTGAGTGTATGTTTGGTCTTATCTGATCATTTGCCTTAATCACCCTGTGATGTTTTTATGCTATGCCCTGTAATTATTTTCTGGTAATCTCTACCTGCACTTCTATTCCCAAATTTTGTAAAATACTAAATAACCACTTCATGTGACTGTATAAATAAGAGCATCTGACCAGGATGAATGAGCCCCCTAAGTAAAGATGTACTGTTTGAAGTTTTAATACAACTAAAAAAGCAAATATATTCTGTTTACAAAATGATCAGTTTTCTTAAAGAAGACTTAAGTAGTTAGTTACACTGCAAAACTCACAGCTAATGAAAGCTTCTAAAGACCATCTCCATATCAATCAGAAAATTCAGAAACGTGAACATAAACAGGGTTTCATAATCACAACAATGAGTAAAAGAACAAGCTGAGTGGATAAAGAAGGGAAATGAAGAACAACCAAAGCACAATACTTCATTTAAAAAATAGCTTTTAATATAAATCTGAATACAAAAATAACAAAAACACTCTACAGTCATTGCAAACAAATCCTCAAAGTCTTCTCTCATCAGTTCCCTGACAATTTGGCAAGTGCTTGTCTTCTCTGTTCTGCAGTCATATACTCACAGGCTTCCAAAATATTTACTATAATTAAAGTCTGTTGAACTGTTTTTGCTTTTACCCATATTCTTCCATTCATTCCCAGCACCAGCTCAAATGGGTATAACTGTGACAACTCCTGAATTATTTCACATTTGGGAGCCAAGAGTCTGTAAATAAGATCAAAAAAAAAAAAATCAGAAAAAGAAGTGCTTACATTTACAGACACCACATGGTTATCATCAGTAACACCAGCAGCACTGCTGTTATGGTAGCTACTAAAGTAACACCAGAAAGTTGAATATACATCCAAAATAGTAACACAATATCAATATAGCCACCTAAAAAAAAATACAAGAGTTGTGAATTTAGCAGGGTTTTTTCCTAATTAAGACTTGGAAGTAATACCAAATAGTATTACTTCCAAATTAGTAGCAGTAAACAGACTACTTTATTTTTATTAGCTGGTAGCATACTGAAAAGTAAAGTTCTCAATAATACTGTAATATGTCTAGGATTAAATCAAGCTTGAACAGCTTCACAAAGAAGAAAAACATATCAGGACTTAGCAGTTTACTTGTAATATACTGTTATTGCTTTACTTGCATACAGACAAAATTTGGAAAACAAACAGAATGGCTGCAAAAAGTCTTTGTAGCAGTTCACACTGACTTCTGATGGGACATATAAATCAAACAAATAATTACAGGTGGGAAATAGTGGCTCTACATCTCCAGATTGCTTATCCAAAGAACAAAACCAAACAAAAGAAAAACACCCAAAAGGCAACAACAAAGCTTGACTATCATTTATCCATATAATCTGGTATTCCTTGATAGTCACAAAAAATCTTGTCTTTACATCAGCATAAGAAACTCCAAACCTCTTTAGTCAGCTGTCAGCCAAACGTACATCCCCACTATTCCATTTAGCAGAAAAAGAACAGTAAGCATCTCCATTTTTTAAACTCCAAGGTAGTCTGTACCTACCTGAAACACTATCCTGAATGTTTGATATTGGAAAATAAAGCTAGCTAGGACACTAGCTTTATTTTCCATATTCCCTTGGCAACCACATCACTTTTTTTTTTAAACAAGTCATGCAACACCATATAGAAAAGCATCTAAATCCCTTAAAAGAAAAAATAAATGCTGCTTCTAGGTCAATATTCATACTCCATTCAGCACAACTGGTACAAATACACCACAAGAACTACACACACCAATTACCAAATTGCCCATGCTGCTCGGAGGGAACAACTGGCAAATCCTACCTACCATATTACATATTAGAGCAACTACTTACGTTTCTTAGTACTTACTTTCTTATTAGACCTAAGGAAACTTTAAAGAGGAAGCCATCTTGTCCAATTATTCCCATTCCACTTGATTTTCCACTGCTGTCTATACAGACCATCTCTGGTTCCATGTCTTTATTTGCTACAAGGAACTGACCATAAATAAGATCTCCCACCTAAACAAAACAGTGTCAAAAAGCAAAAGTAAAAGAGAAGATCATACTGTACATTTGTAACAAATGCTGATTATTGATAAAGATCCTCTAGTGAGGCAACAAAATAGATTTAAAACAGCGATGATAGAAAAATAATTTTAATTTTCTCTTCTTTTACTAAAGACAGCATCCTCCACAAAGAATTATCTTGCACTGCTACTAGAATTTGTAAGATAAAAGGACAGAATTTTATTTAAAGGAGTTAAATAGCTCCAGTCTTTTTAAATACCATATATGAATTCCTCTTTCTTCACACTCTAATGATATTTAAAGCCTAAGCAATCTGCTCTTGTAATCAGTTATCAGAACAACAACAACAACAACAAAAAAAATCACATAAAGCTATTTTACTTCTCTTTATATTTTTCTTCCCTTTTTACATTCTGGTGATGATATTTCATCAGAGTGCAGAAAGTGTGGCATGCACGTGCCATACAACTGTTTATAACAGTGTCGTTAAAAAAAAGCAAAACAGACACAAATATTTTACACCAGCATCACGCAGCATAAAAGCTTGCTTTAAAACCTTAACTTCATACTGTCCCTCTGCATGCACACTACTCGTGAACTGCATCTGCTGCTGGCAGTATTATGGGAAAATTAAAATGAGAGAGTGAGGAAGCCTACGACCTGACAGAGACCAAACTACACTAGTTACAGTGCTCTTAGGGAACCTCTGAAAGGCCGCAGTCTAATCTTGCAAAAACCTCCGAGGAGGGCCCAGGAGAAATCCCTGCAAGCAGACCGGCACTCTCCCTTTTATAGGCGGCTTACAAAAAACGCTTCTAACTAGGAGAAGCTACCAAAACGCATCCGAAGCGCCCCCAAACGGGACGGCTACAGCATCACCGCCAGCGCACTCACATGCACGTTCGGCCTGTTCCTCTTCGTGGCGCCCTCGAAGGCCAGGTAGGACAGGGACGCCAGCTCGCTGCCGCCCACGTCCAGCTTGAACACGTCCCCCGCCTTGGCCGTCACGATCCCAATGACGTGGTCACCCTTCACTGGCACGTACTGGAGCGGGACAGGGGCACACACGGGTCAGGGGGTTCACACACACACACAGATACACGTGCCCCGGTCCCCCCGCGCCCTTACCCGCTTCTGCTGCGAGTCCACCCAGTAACGCCGCCGGGGCCGCGGCCGGATGCCGCAGGAGCCCGCACTTGGTGACCAGCAGGGCCCGGCCCCGCTCGCGCCGCAGCCCCGGCCCGCACAGCAGACCGCCCCGCGGCCGCCGCCGCCCGCGCTTCAGCCGCAGCCGCTCGCCCTCGCGTTCTCGTCGTATCGTGCGCTGGCAAAGCAGGTAAAGCAGGGTTCCACACGGGAAAGCACCGTTCTGCCCCACGCCAAGGGCCCTCCCGGCCCCGCCCCCTCGCCCGCCTCTCCGCCGTCCATGGCCGCGGGGCCGCCTGGGCCGGCCGGGCGGTGCGCTCTGTGTGCCGCGGGGCGGCACAGCGAACAACCCCCCGCCGGGCGCCTTCCCACCACATCCCGGTCCCGAGCGACCCTGGAACGCCGGCCTCCCGCTCTCACTCTCACGGAACTCCAGCGCTCCCGTGTTCACTTCACGGGAAGCAGTCCTTCTGCAGCCTTCCATTTGTGCCTGGGAACTGCTAGGGTAACGTGAGCGCCGTTAAACTTCGGGATTAACATCCGCGCTGAATTAATTCTTCCAGCTGTAGTTATATGCAGGGGTTTTTAAATACCTGGTTAGAAGTTTGCCAGTAAAGCAAACAGCTGGTCAAATTGGAGGTGAATGTCAGCCAAGGAGAAAATACAACTCTGCCTTAAAGCTGGAAATTCAAATTCCATAATAAAGTATTTATTGAAAAACGCACCCTGTACTTGGCTATAAAGTTCTTATTCTATGCTAGCTCAGGTTCCTTTTGCTAAAATCCCAAGAGTATTTTCTTTCCTGAACTGCTTTCCAGTCTTTATCTACGTGTCCGCATGCATTCATACAGATGTGTATAATCCCCTAAATTAACGGAGAGGCATCGGTGCGTTGCCAGTTAATTGCAGACAGGGCTGGCTGAAGATGTGGATGGACACCCCTTTCTGTTGTGAGTGGAAACCGGTCACGGAGAGGGCGGAGAGAGCATCAATCGCATTTAAACTGTTTTTTTCCCTAGGAGACACCCTCCGGGGAGCGGTGGAGGCGGTGCTGCGGGGTTCGCAGCCCTGTTGCGGGGCAACCCCGCGCGTCCGGGGCGGCGCCGGCAGCGGCTGGGCCGGGCTGGGCAGAGGGTGGGAGCGGACCAGGCTGGGGCTGCTGTACCGGGGCTCTGGCACCTGCTCTCCGAGGGAAGGCGAGCAGCTACAGGGCGGCGCTAGAAGCAAAGAGGTGCTAGTACCGTGTCCGAGTAACTTTCTAGGGGCGACGCGCCAGGTCCTCCCGGGAACTCCGCGCACCAGGAACATGGATAAGGACGGGCCCGCCCCGCGTGTAGCCCAGGGGAGGGGTGGAGGCCCCGCCTGTGCTTAAATAGAGCCCGGGGGCGGAGGGCGGGGGTGGCGATGCAGGTGAAAAGGGCCGGGGTAATCCAGGTCTGTTCGTGCCCGCAGGCCCGCACAGCTCACCTCCGACTCGCCGCGTCAGGAGCCGCCGTGAAGGCAGAGGGTGGCACAGGATTCATACCCCGGCCACCGCGCCCAGGGCAGTGCCAAGAGCCTGGATTTTCTGCCCCGCCAGGGCTGCGCCAAAGGGATTGAGCGCCCTTGGCAGTAAAGGAAAGGTCGTGTTTGCTGAAATAGGGCGAGTAAAACCTCGTGTGTGCTCAGAGATTTGTGCCTTTCGTGACTGTATAGAGTGGCTCCTTCAGGCCTTGGTGTCGCAAACCTATCTTAAAGATAGTTATGTTAGTTCAAACTAAAATCTGCCCTTGATCGTTCACAGTACTTCACCGTTCTTAGAAGACTTATATACAGATACTCAGTGTCCTGTTGTGTTTTTAAGGGTTTTTTTTCTCTCATGTAGACCTAGAATTACCAGTGTATTTCCAGGTAGTTTGTGAAATACACATATCTAAACAATAAGGGGAGGAGGAGTTGAGCGTTTTTTTTCTGCAGTGATTGGTATAACTGACCTATCACTGGAGCTTATAAGAACTAAACCAATGCAACAAACAATTGAAGTAACTTTCCTGTATATATTGCAAGGTTCATAAAAAGTAATGTCATATTCAGAGTTAACTGCCCGAGGCAACAATTTTTAACCCCCCTAATTTAATTCTGTCATTCATAGTTAATACCTGTTTGTTTCTTGTTGATAGATTTGGATGGAGTCTCAGTATCTGAAGCAATGCCTGGGAGATTGCTTGAAAAAGGGACTGGCAGAGGTTGTAGAGCATCGGCCAGCAGATCCAATAGAGTATCTTGCACATTGGATTTACCGTTACAGAAGAAACTTAGATGAAGGAGAAAAGGTGGATCCAACTTAGGCAAAAAAGAAAATTATTACAATATAATTGATGGTATATATCTCCGTTTTTTTTAATTGGTTCTGTGTAACCTCTGAAATAGAGAATGTTGGAGAGGGCTGAGCTGGAACGAGAACGGGAGGCAGCACTAGCAGAGCTTGAAATATTAAGAAAAAGGGAGGAAGAAGAGCGGATGATCCAGCAGAAACTCGAAGAACAACGTCAGGTTAATAATACTTAGTAATACATAATAGTGTATGGTGCTGTGGCATCCTGTAGCTCTTTCTGTACTTCCAATCTGTAATGGTTTCGATAAAGTTGGCATGAAAGAAGTATTTTAATCTCACTTTTCTGAATAACTGAAACTGTTAATCATCACATGGGTAGGAAAGCTTACTATGCAGTACAATGTTATTAAAAATGAAGGCACTTAAGTTGAAAAGAAACCAACATAAGACTTATATGAGAAGCAGCTGAAAATAAGTAGACTATCCTCTGTAGTTATTTAGGAGCAGGAGCTGGTGCAAATAAAGCTAGAAATCATTGCAAAAATGCTAGGAGATCTGAGAGTAATAACCCACCATTATCTCAAGCTGCTTCAGCATAATATCAGTAATGCCAAAAAAGGTAATGAGAATGTATACACAATTAGAGAGTCCTGAAAATGGTTGGGAACCAATGAATGAAGATTGCTTATTTAAGCAGTTATGTTTAGCCTGATGCAGAGAGGTGCCTTCTTCTTTCCTTAGCTGCCTGAGCTTTCTGTTGGCATAAAGCAGTTAGAATCCTGTACTGTTTGGTCTTCTGAGAAATAAATATAATGTCTCTGTTTGTAGCTATTCTTTAGAAAGGAGGCATGTGAACTTGATAACTTGTAAGAACCTCAGTGTTGCTGTGGTGATGTTGATGTGATGTGACTGGATTTTTTTGCATGGCTAGCATTCACAATGTTAAAAGTGTAATTTTGAATTCGTGCTGCTCACGTTAAGCCCAGTTCTAGTGTAAGATGCATTCCTTCTATTTCACTTGCAATTTTTAAATTTGGAATTTCCTAATTTGCAGACCATAAGTTATGTGCTGAAGGATTTCATGAGTGATTTTGGATAGTAAATAGAAATAAGAATTGTGTTTGGAGATAATTCACAGAGAATTAAATAAATCACTTCATATAAACTATGGGAAAAATATTGAATAATACTTACGTTAGATGCATTTTTTAACCTAACAGTTTTGTCTGTAGTCAAATATTTAGGCAAATTTTGATTATATGTACCAAAAAGGAACGTGAAAACTAGTTACAACAATATGACCATATTTGTTAAAACTGCTCACAAAATGCAAGAGCTAACAGTATTCTCTAGTGCTGTTGAACGTAAATACTTAGATTATGAAGTTTCTGAAGTTTTGATGCAATAGGACTTAATGCTTACAAATAATAGACACTTTCTATTAGATATTTCCAATTGGGAATACTAAAGGTTGCTGATGGACATGATTAATGTTAATGATATTGCTTACCAGTCCTTTCGATAGATTTGATACTATATTGGTTCATCTGTTTGTGCTAGATACTGTACAAAGTACCAAAGAGCTTAATCCAAGGTATAGGAGATAACTAATATAGACTGTTAAAGAGCATGTGGAATGAGACAGTATCCAAAGTGTGTACACTAACTTCAGTCAACTGCTTCTCCTTCCCCTTGGTAGTAAAGCCTTGTTATCCATGAGAGTCTAAAACCTTTGAAAATGTTGAGCCAGATGATACTGAAAGGACTTTGTTACTAGCACTGCAGTTAGGTTTTATGCTTCCTCCTTGTTCTATTTGTGATTTCAGTTATGAAATGCATTGTAAGCAACGCGGTGGAAATATGAACGTGTTTTTTTTTTCTTTCTGATTTGTCCTTTCTTAAACTGATTGCAGGCTGAGCTGGAGCAGGAACGTCAGAAGGCTGAGTTGGAACAAGAGCATCAGAAGGCTGAGCTGGAGCAAGAACACGAGAAGCTGGAACTGCAGAGTGAAGAAGACAACGTGCAGTTGCAGCAGGAAGATCAAAAGGTTTAAGCCGAAACTTAGTTGGTAGTTTGAAAATACCATGAATAAACCATCTTTTCTGAATGCAGGCATCAATTCTGAAACACAAGGCAGAAACCCACGAGCTTTGAATTAACATATAATTTTTTAAAAAAATGTAAATGGGAGAAAAAATGTCTAATACCTTGGTTTTGCAACCTGAATTTTTTGCCTGGACTTTGGTCTGTTCTATTAGGTTTAATTAGTATATATTCAGAACAGAGCATATATTTATTGCAAAATGTAGTATAGGGCTATTTTAGCTGATGCTTCCACATTCCTTCATGGCATTTATGAGAAAGTTATAACAATATAAGCATGTCTAGCTTAAGTATTGAGACAGTAATGTTTTACAGAGTGTGAGTGTAAAGTCCTTTGCTGTACCTGGAAAAGGAACTGTGGTTTTGAATTGTGATGCCTCTTGATTCTGAGATCTTCCTGGCACATGGGAATTTATACTAACAAAAGAGTGTGTAAACAGATGTCTGAGTCTTTTAATATGGTCTTTTAATGCTACTTCAGTAAAAACATAGACTGCTAATTGTTTATCTCAATAAAGCCTTTAAATATGAATACCTCTTAAATTTATGTGGAGCACATAATGTTTGAGAAATACATAAGTTTTTAGAACTCTCTGTTAATATACTGACAGAACATAATTGTAGAAAGATGAGAGTATGAAAGTGTCAGAAAAAATGAATATGTAGAAATTAAAACTGAAATTACTGTTATTAAAAAAATAGTTTTAAGCATGCAAAGACTGTATTCAGATACTAACAAATTTTATAGTACTTACCTTAAGTGTTCTCCTTATATTGATATATAATGTCTTTTTAACATACTTAAAATATTTTCTGTGGATTTCATGACATGGAGTAAGTATTTTTAACAGAAAACTGGTTTTCATTACCATAGGAAGATGAAAAGACAGTATCTGAACTTACAGATAGACCTGGAACACCTGATTTGACCAAAGCTGAGGAGGAGCTAGATCAGAGTGGACAGCCCGAGGTAAGTGTTTAGAAAGAGATTACAAATGAATGATTCTCACAGATTTGCTTTTCTGTGCTGACCTATCAAAGGTTTAAACTGTTTCTGGTTCTCTCCTATGGCTTTAAGGGATGGCATTTTGGCCCCAACCTCCAAACTGCTCATAGCCTGTTCTCTAGTGCAAGTTAAGCCATTCTAATTTTTTAATTCCTTTTACACTTGACAGTCCAAGGAAATGAGAGAACATGAATCAGCCTTCATTTAAAGCAAGGCAAGGCAGTGCTTTTAACAGATGATGCCAACTCCTGCAAAATCACTCAGTTTTCTGAGTATTCATTGGTCATTAAGGGTCCTGTCTGACATTTTCCAGTTAGAGTATTCCAAGTGTGATAACTTGAGATTTTGATATACTAGTTTTAGTACATCATTAGCAGAAAGCTTTTTCCTTTATTGACTTTAATAGTTTACTCACTTTATTTCTGGTATCAGTAGTGTAATTCTAGCTCAGAATTTATATTGTGATATTAATGTGCTTTATGCTTAAATCTACTTTAATAACAGCCTATTTTTTGAGTGTTCTCTAAATATATTATTAACATACTTATGACTATTCTTATGGTCAGGTTTTCACAGATGTTTTTCCCACTAAGGTAAATCAGATGAATTCTCAATATCTCATATAGCCCCAATTTTTATAATTTTCTGATAATTATGTATGAAAAATTATTCTTGAGACTTCAGGCATATTTTATGAATTCTTAAATAAGTAAATCACAAAAAGTTAAAAAAACTAATAAACATACCTGCTGCTTCTTACATGTGCCATCTTTCAAGTTTTTATGCATAAAGTTGTTTAAAGTTAGATTACATTGGCCTTTGGTAATGTTGAGGTTTTACAGTTATATATTTGTTGAATTAAGCTACAAATTAAGAACAGTCAATAAAGTAAAATATATAGGCCTTTACTTTTGAAATAATTCTGCCCTCAGAATCACAATGCTTCATCCAGATTTCCTGAAATTTAAAATAATAAAAGTCTGATGATAACATTCATTGTATTCCACTGAATGAAAGAGTAGATGATTAAACTGATGAGTACCAACTTGTCTGTCATGTGCAGTTTTTTCCTGTTTTCCTTTTTACAAAGTTCAGTGAATTCTGGTAAGTGATAGAATTTTTTTGTTGTTTTTTTAGAGTAAAACAGATCTCACAGCAGAAGCAGAAGAAAGTTCCGAACAGACCTGAAAGCAGTAAATATATTTTCTTCTCATTACTTGCTTATCCTGAAGTGTAGTATCTTGATTTATGTATTTTATATAAAGAACTGATTTACATACTGCTGTTTCAGTGTGTTTGTTTTCAGGGTGTTTGTATAAAGTCTGTTAATTCTGGCACTGATTCTTCTTTTTTGTTCTTAAACAGTTGTAGCTAGCATGGCTGACTTGGAGGAAGACAACTGCAACTGAAATGAGAGAAGCAAATAGATTTTCTGCTTATTCCACATGATACTTGAATTGTAACCATAATAAATACAGATAAAATTAATGTGTTGGTATTATTTGAGGGTAGATGCTACAGTATGATAATTTGAATCTATATTAAAAGAGATATTTTTGAGAAAAGATTTTTCAAGAATTTGTATGGTTTCTGATAGAAAAAGGGAATGCTCCACAGGTTAGAAGATGAGGAGAGAGTTCTGCACATCAAACTAGGTGCAAAAATCCAATCAGAATATTTTTCCAATGTATTTGGAAGAGATGAATTTAACTCTGACTCAATTGACAGATGTACTAGAAGACCTTGTCTCTTAGAAATCATTAGGTTATTTTTGTAGCTCTGGGTGTTTGATCTAGACTTTAAAATAACCTTTTCTGAGTATTGTGTGATACTAAGTGAGCTGCAAGTCCGCATATCAGTTTTGATTAGTCAAGTTTTTAAGTCTTTTCTGCATTTGTCTTGAATTTGTAAATCAACAGGTTAAATCTACATTGTCTTTACTAAATACCATTATTATTTCTCAAAACTTCACTTCTAAAAAAATTAAGAACAATACCTTTGCCTACACAGGCAAAGGTCAATTGCATAATAAATATTTTTTTGCTCTGCATAACATTTGTTCATGTAGCTCGTACTAAGCATAATACTATCAATTTTTAAAAATGTAAGCACTAATGATTTTTAGTATTGTAGTATATTATTTTTCCCCTAAAAATAAAGTATACATTTTTTAAAATTTCCTGTGCCCTTTTTTATTGCTTCATTGCTTTTTGAGTGCTTTTCACTAGCATATCTTACATGAATAACCTTAAAATCAAAAGAGAAAAATGTCACTCTACCAGGTATAAATACTTAGAAATGTTTATGTAACCTTTGAAGTAATGAAAAATGGAACTACTTTTGTGACGAGGTGGTCAGGCTTTCTATGTACATTTAATTTGCATTGGTATGGGTTTGCAATTTCTATGATAGTCAAGAACCTTTTTGGTGGCATGAATATGCCCTTATGGTTGACATTGCAGTAAACTGATTTTGTCACAGTTTATGATTACACTATTTTAACTGTTACTAAAAAATATAATTTTAAGGACATACTTTAAGACACTGCAGTTCTAATTACACCTGTTAACACTGTAAGCACAGCAGCTTCCTGTGCCAATTTCAGAGGAATGGAGTAATTGGATAAATAGATGGAGTTCTCTGATGAACCAGTAAGTATAACTGAATCTTGTTCTTTGGAGTAAAAGTTTTAAAATTTGATAAGTAACTCACGTCCATTTACATTTTATGTCCAATCGTGTTGACTACAAAAGTTTCAACCTTCATACAGCCTTCAAATTCAAGACAGTGTTTTAGAACATGCTACGAAGTAACTGTAATAACACGTGGCCTTTGCTTTTTAATCTCTTTTCATAGTTTTTTGTATCTTTGTTTGATTCTGTTATATGTGTGTCCACTAGAGTGCATCCTAAATAAGCACACTGGGGGCTCTGTCAGTTAGAGCCCATGAAAACTGCAGCAAGTGTTTGTCATTTTGTTTCAGTTTATTTTTAACTGGCTTTTTTTTTATAATCCTGCAGGACATATTCCCCATTTTTCTCTAAAAATAGGAATTGAATTTTTGGATGGAAACTCTATGAGAAAATGGCTTATGGTCAAAGGGTCAAAATAAAATTGTTCCTTTGCTGTTATGTACAGAAGGTATTGTTCAAATGTTATATGTAGAAATTCCTCTTTCTTCAAGATTTTATGTGTGTAGATGTAGTGCATTATGCACCTTCTACAGCTTTATAGGAATTTTTTTGTTGGATATGGGACAAGAGGGTGAACAGTTCTTGGCTCAGTGCTTTCTTGAGGTGCAAACCAGCCTGTAGGTAACTTGGAATTTTAGTTCATGACAAAGATGACTTCTGCTTGGGTGTCTAAACCTGAAGGAGAAATTAAGGCAGCTTAAAATAATTTTTGCCTTCTCGTTCTAAACTTTCACCTTCTTTGGAGTATAGCAAGCTAGAGCCTGGAACAGGACGAGAATAAGTGAGAAGATAACTATTCTAGTTACTGCACATAATGTGATTTCACAGGTATTAATAGAGTTTTACCTCTATAAAATCTAAAGTTGTATATTGAATAAGAAAAAGGCAATTACCTAATGTAACAACTTCTATAGCTTACACTTCCTTTGAATACATTTTTGTGGAATGAAGGAGATGGTATTCAGAGGCAGAATGTAGAAATTGTCACTGAAAATAAGGTGTTAAATACTGAAAGAAGATTTATGAAATTGTCATTTTTCCTTTCTTCAGAATAAGAGCAGTCTTATTCAAGCTGCTATCAGACCATGTGCAGATCCCTCACAGAAAGTGCTGATAGTGGTGTGCCCATTCACAGCTGTTCTCATTCCAACAATACTGAAGCATAAGGATGAAAACAGATATGAAGCCCAGAATAGGACAAAATGATTCAGATTAACTATCAGTCTGCTCACAAACATGGTAACTCAGCTCTGCAATGTAAGAAAGGAGAAATGCATGTTGCAGCAAGCACATATTAATGTTATCTGTTAACAGAATAGGCTTTATTAAGTTTGCAGTCCCCTTTCTTATGATGGATGGTTTTCATAGTCTAAAGGAACTAACTTATCTTTTTGTAAGCAAAAGCCTTATACAATAATTTGCTAATGGGAATGGGAGAAAGGTGAATTGGTCTGGTTTAAATGTAAAATAGAGTTCCTCTGAACTTTGCTAATACAGTTTACTCACATTTGAAGTCAACTATTAAATGCTTTACTTCTATTTTGTGGAGTTTTTCCTGTACTTAGGTTAGAAAAAGAACAGTGTTGTCTATTGACTAGAGCCAGAAAAGAGAGACTAAACCTGTTGCTTGCTGATAAGGACTGATGTACTTTTTAAAATATCTTACCAGTACACTTGTTTGCTTTTTTGGTTTTGTATTTGTGATGGGGTTTTTGGTGGTTTCAGGTTTTTGTTGTTGTTTTGTTGTGGAGGGTTTTGTTGTTTGGTTTGGTTTTTTGTTTGTGTGGGGTTTTTTTGTTGTTGGTTTTTTTTTTTTGGCTTTTGTGTTGTTTTGGTGGATTTTTGTTTGGCTTTGGGGGGTTTTCTAAAACTTTTGTTTGTTTTCTGGCATTACCATTATAATCCTTCATGCAGTCATTGTACTTTATACTTGTGTATTTGTTATAACTAATATAATGGAAGAAGTTATACTATTATAAACATTTATATAAACGTGCATATAGACCAAAATTTATTGGTCTAATAGTGAAAGGGATAAAGGCCAGGTAGAGGACAGTGCCATTTAATTGAGTTGTCACAGTGTAGCAAACTTTTTAAGAAGTTAAGCAGAAGACTCATTGCCAGAATTTGAGAGTTCTCAGATGTGTATATATAACTGAAATGCTGTGGGTCTTCCCTGTTAATCTGCACCTCATAGAATCATTCTATTGAACCAAAATCAGTGTTTAACTTAGATCAGAGATCAGACTTTTTGTAATCTATGCTATTTTGGATTTGAAATAAATTAGAAGGTGTTACATCATGGAAAACTAGGTTCATTAGGGCCTGTGTGAAGATACTGAGTGCTTCCATTTTATCTTTAGGTCATCCAGAATCAATGGCCAGAAATTAAAATGATTTTATTATTAATACCAGGCATATTTGTATTATCTCCTGAAAACAAATCCAAGGCATACAGTCAAGCAGAGAAGTTGCCATTTGCTTCTTGTTGATTAATCTTGCTTGAGTTATCTGTCACAAAGGCTGTATTGATGTCTCTGTACTGATAAGAAATATATACCTCACTAAATATCCAGATTTTCCCCATTAGTTTGCATCTGGTGTAATTTAAAATTTCAATGTACTTTAAATGATTCTTTGAAGCTTGTGATTGATTCAGGAAAAAAAAATTGATATTTAGGCATATCATGCCAAAGTTATCTGGATGATCTTAGCCTCTCTAAGGAGTATTTAAAAGGTTTAGGAATCTTTTAATGAACTCTCCAAGGAGATTCTGCTACTTCCTGCATGTAGTCATTAATGGATCTCAACAGAAGTTGCTATCATAAAAATTTTGGTTGTTTGTTTTTTTTTTCCACAATCTTGGGAAAGTAAGTGTGAAAAATGTGACTTTAGTTTCATGCAAGAACCCATTGGTGTTTGAGTTGAGCAAATTGGTTTTTGGACAAAAGACATTATTTTATTCAGTGGTTCCTCTATAATTTAGACGTTGTCTAGCAGATTCCAGATAAAGAAATTGGCTTTTCCTGTGGGAGGAGGATGAAATATGTTTAAACTTGATCAGTATTTTGATTAGTCTGTTTTTTGTAATGAACTGAATCATATTTTCAACTCTATTATAAAGCCAATTGTTGTTGTTGTTTTGTTTTTAAAAAAATAAAACTGAGGTAAACCATTTTTGTTGTACTGAGGAACTAGTCTTCCAAGGACTCCAGTCTTCTCATTGAAGTTACTGAAAAAACTGTAGTTGAAATTATAAGAGGATTGAGCTCTCAGCTAACATGAACATGAGTTCTGCCTTTGAGAAGCCGTCTCCTAGTTATTAAACTTTTAATATACTTAATAGTAAAACATGAGATAATTGATTGACTCAAATTACATGCAGGGAAGACACTGCAGAAATAGAGATGAATTGTTGTAGGGAGGATTGGAGAGAAGAAATGTTCATATAATGTATCACTCCAATTCCAGCAAAGGGGCACTGCAGCTCCCTTTTGCTCAGGTTCAAGTCACATTCCTGGGAGTGTGTTGGGTTTCTCCAATCATTCTGCTTAATTTCTACTCCACCTCTTGGATGTACTTTCTTCCAGAAATGACTGGCTGCATGTGGACACACCTGTATTTGGTTCATTATTATCTTAAGCAATTGTGGTTTTGCCACTGATGTGTTTAGTAGATAAGTTTAAAAAATGCTATTTATTTAGCCGATAATTGTAATCCTGGAAACAGGATCTGTTGTTTGTTTCATTGTAAGCTTAGCTGCACTGAAAAGTTACCCTGAGGCCTGGCAGCTGAAAATTTCTAGGGCTGGGACTGGGGTGAAGTTCTGAGACAGCTGTTCTTCAACATTTTTTTCAGTGGGCACATGTATCTAAGTGGAGCCTATAGTAAAAATGCACCACTATTTTTTTTCTCATTTGAACTTGGGTTAAGTTTTATTATATTTACTTGTATTTGAAACCTATTCAGTCAGGTTTGAACTGTACAAGAACTGTCACCGATCATATGCTAGAACACTATACTGAGACACCAACTATTCTCTTATCTCAAAACATCATGTTTTTATAGACACTGAACTCTTAATATCTTTAGGATAAATATTTTTGCCACTGCTCAGATATAGGCCATTGTTAACTCATGCACATTTTCCCCTTACTCCTATGTGACTTTTCTAGCTTTTTTTTAAGCTATCACTTGGAAACGCAGCATAGTTATGAGATGCAGATCTGTCTTAGAATTTGCCCAGGCTTTGCTTGGCACAAAAAATCAGGACAATACAGCCAGATCTATATATTTCTATGTATTTGTCCTGTCTCTTGACACAGAGTACTGTAAAGGCAGGTTTCTTTTTTTTTTTTTTTTTGGTACAGTTTCTTGAAATGTCTCTCCAGCAGCTACAACTCTCTCACTATTTTGTGACTGCAAGAAAGTTTCCAGTTGTATGTGTGGTAAGCCCATGTAGCTGACAGCAATACACCAATATTCTTCACACTTCCTTAAATCAAAGAACCATCTAACCTTTAAAAAAAGATCGATTGACTTGTTTGAATTTTGCTTTTTTTGGTAGGATAAGTAAATTCCTAGGGTTAAGTAAGATAAATTTTTATTGCTTACAATATTTCAATGTTATGCACACTGTAAAAATGAGACCTGCAGCTTTGGATAGATTCAGATATTTGTGAAATCAAAATCTAGAAATGAATTTGATATTCTAGTTTTCTGTCTGTGTAGAAATTGTTTTAGTTTCTAAGGAGATCAGGTCCGTGCTAACTGAACATGCTGGCAGGAATGGTAAAACATTCATGCCAACCACATGGGAATATCTATATGTGTCTTAAAAATAATTACACATTGAAATAACTTTGACCTTGCTTCTTAAGGCTTACAGAATCCTAGTGACATGTTTTATGGTACTGCAGAGGTGGAGAGCTAACAACATAGAACTGATTACCCAAAACCTCAGTTCTCTGACTGTTTCTGTTGGGATGCTAAGACACTGGTAGCATTTGGGAAGAATTTAACAATAAATTGCATCATAAACTTTCCATTACTTTTCTCATTAGCCAAGATTTCTGAAGATACAGAAAAGAGGTTGTCTTAGAGGAGCTAATGTGTTCTAGGTGCCAATTTCAATACTAATTTTCAAAAGCAGAAAATGGGATCTTTCACTTCACTGTCCAAACCTTCTAATATCTGTGAGTCAAATGCTTTTTTCTTAGAGTTGGTAGGAATAGTTGATAGATTTTTGGTTCTGACAGGTCTGCTCTGTTCTCTGTTTTCTGACTGACTTCTTATCAAACCGTTGAGAGGCCAAAGGTGTTTAATTAAACTGGTGTTTAATTACAAGCAACATGGATTGTGGACATAAGAAAGCAGCAGTAGCAGGAAGCCTGTAAGCTGTCAACCTCAGAAACAGGAAAGAATCTTCTGCCTAGAAACAGACCTGATGATTGATATGAATGTAGGAAACTAAGGTGCTCCTCAAATTGATTAGTTGGAAAACCTGGAAGAGGGGAAAAAAGAAAAAGAACCAAAAATGGGTGAGAAAATATTGAAGTAGTAGAAGAAAGATAAACCTTAAGAGCAGCTCTTGCACGTGTTTTGCTATGTGCTACCTGTGGGTAGCCTGTATACCTATGTAGGGTGGGGTTTAAGATGGTAAAGAGAATAGTTAATAGTTCTGGCCTTCTCTTTGCCTGCCTAGTAGAGGGAGCTGCAGGCTTCAGTTTCCTCTTAAAGGACTAAAACTGGGTTTGCTTCCTTGACATGATCTAGTGTTGCTGGTTCATTCTCTAGAGTACTGTGATTTCTGTGTAACTTGAATACTCTGCATTGCAAAAATGAAAAAAAAATTAGTGCTCTTAAACTTTAAGAACAAAATTTTGAAATTTATAGTCATAATTCACTGGTACTAGGTCATATTCAGGAGGGTTTGTTTGCTTTCGTTTTTTGTTGGCTTTGTTTGTTTATTTGTTTGGGGTTTTTTTCCACTGTTTGTTTTTGAGGGGTTTTTTTTTGTTAGTTTGTATCACTTTTACATGTTTCAGTGCAACAGGTAAGGTGTGACATCCTTGGTCCTGACATTTCTCATTGCTAAAACTGTTCTTCTTGCTAAGGGTTGAAGCAAGATCATTACACTTCACAAGTGCTGAGCTTTTTAGTTTGTTTCAAGGCAAAGGACTTGGGGGGAAAAAAAGAGAAGAGTATCATAATGAAGCTGTGAGATGGCAACTGTGTCTATAAGCCTGAAGATCATTTGGTGAGATCCATTTTCTATTCCATATTTCATCTATGAATGGGAGTCTAAAAATGCTGGTGTGTTCTGGTTGCTGTATGAATTTTTGTATAGTACCATTTATTATACTTGTGTTGGTTTATGCTGCATGTCCTTCATCCATTATCTAATGTCCCCCATTTAGACAGATATCTAAGAATATTTTTGGCTATGTTTTATGTCAGACTTGTTTATCTGAGACTGCTAAGTGACTAGCTGCAGTGAAATCTTTCAGACACAGATGAAAGATAATGATGTTTGCTGTTTGCTCATATATTTGCCCAGATGAAGTATGTGGAATTGCTACCTGAGTGTCAATTCCTTGTCTAAGTCAACTGTGGTAACAAGGTCAGGTTGGAGGATTTCTGAAAGATGTGACCAATCAGATGATTGAGAGTTTCCTGCAGACCTCAGAGCACCAGTAGTGCATTTGAGCTCTGTAGCAATGACAGTGGCAGAATTTCTGAAAAGGCTGTGAATAACCTATGGATAGGAATCATGACTAAATTGGTTGCTGGATGCATGTTGTATCTTTTCATCCAGATAACCATACAAGCCTAATTCTGGAGATCACAACATTGTGCAGTCATTTTCAGTCATGCAAAATGCATGTAAAATTCTCCTATTTATTATTTAGTAGATTAGTACTGAGTGTTTAAGTAGATGTGTTGGCCTGTATCAAACAGTTCAAGTATGTAAATATTTTCATTGCAAGCATGAAAGAGGTACATCTGCAAATATTGGTTATTGTTCACACAGATTGTGCACATAGGGAAGACGATTTTTGGTCCAGAGGAGTAACTACAGTCCTATACCACATGAAAGAAAAGGATCTTCTGGCATTATATCTAGAAAAAGTCCGAAATGCCTGAATTTAACCTTATGTTCCTTGTCAGGAAGCCAGAATTTACAAATTCCAGAACACTTCTTGCAGGTAGGTTTCTGAAACCTGACTTCATGTACTAGAGTCAATATTTGTTTCAAAGTCCAAAGACCACCTGTACTGTAAACATCTGTGAAACACTGCGGCAAAAGCTCTTGGGTAATAGCTGTTTAAATGCATCTGTCTGTCTCCTAAGGTACTGAGGAAATCCTAATGGTTTACATATATACACTAATTATGTCACAAGACATGGGAAAGCAGAAGATTGTACAGATCCCAAGCTGATGGAAGACAGCCGAAGTTCCGTAGCCAAATTGTTTTTGAGATACACATCTATGGCTGAAATAGGGTTTAGTCTGGGCAGGTGATCAGACCTGTCACTAACAACAAGGAGTCCTAAGGAACTGTGGCTGTGTGTATCTGATGTGTGGTCAGACCCCACGTGAGTGAAATTAAGTGTTATGCTTTGTTACATTTCAGATGATAATCTTTCCCATGCCAAACAACTGACCATAGCAACTGGGGAAAACATCCAGTGAAAATATATAGGTGGCTTTTTGTAAGGTTAGAGGGAGACCATTTCTAACTGAAGACTTTTCCATACCTGTCCAAGGCATAACTTTAATAACGAATGGGTTAATTCACTAAATTTACTAAAATAGATTATAAGCAAACTCCTAAATCTGTAGGTTGTACATTGCTACATTTGCAAACTGAAACAGTTTTAGCTGTGTGAGGTGAATATGGAACAGGGCTCTATTCTTTTTCTTCTACCCTCTCATCAATTATGAAGAACACAGAATTTGTGACTCTCTTGTAATAGGTCTTCACATAAGGATGTAACACAAACAAATGGTTTTGCATTGCTCTGTAGAGCTTATACCTTAAAGAGGAATACTGTGAAAGACTAAGGGCAGAACTATTTATATACCAATATGGTTTAATGCTGTTTAAATGAAGCAATAGAAACCAATCAGTGAATGGAAAACTTTAAACTTTAACTAATCTTGCTATTTTTTCACCATTTGTGGTACAACAGTGCTTATTTATGAAGACAGATTAGGAAACAGACTTTTTAATTTATCATTATCTTAGTGTTGAGACATGAACAGCTAGGACTTTTATTAAGTGAATAAACAGAAAATTAAGTTGTATTCACTTCTACTTAATGTTCCAGGTCTAAGGAACAAATGCACCCAATGAAATTAATACCAGCGTACAGCTGATTTTAATTAAATCAGAATTTAGCTCCCAGTATAGCTTTAATTATTTCCTAAGAAGCAAATTAAAAGTTGCCATTCATGTATAAAGCCCTGGCACATGTTACTTCATGGCATGGCCATGAGCAACCTGTTCAAGTTGGTCCTGCTTTAAGCAGAGGGTTGGACTTGAGACTGTCCAGCCTCAAATATTCTGTGATTCAGGGATATGTTAGAATAGAGAATTTGAGGTCAAACAGATACAAAGAAGACAAGCATATGGGAGAGAAGCAAAAGTAATTATTTTCTTTGATATTAGTAGTGGAAGAACCTGGAAAGACTTCTTAGGGAGCGGAAGGGAAGGCAAACGGGAGATACAGCAGAGGATTTCTCTAAAGCTGAAGTAACTGTGGAATGAGTTACATAGAATGCACATCAATAAATTACTCTGGCTGAAATTGGTATTCATTCAAAAAGTCATAAAAACCCTCCAGAATGGAAGAGCTGAATTGCTTATGGTCTTGTGCAGGGGTTGCAGGAGGTCCCATACTCCCATCCTGAGAAGGTGAAAGGTGATATGAAAGAATAAATGCTGGTGATGAACACCCATCTCAGGGCACATACTACTTTCTTTCCTTCTACAATCACAGCTCTTTTTTTCTGCTCCACAGTATGTGTTTTACCCTGAATGCTTATGGGCCAGTGAAATTCTACACCTGCACATCTGAGAGGCCTTGAGCCACTCTCAGGTAACAATAGATAGAGGTGAGAGTTTTGGAGCAGGTGGGAAGCAGGTCATGAGTTCCCGATGTTCAAACTCTTTTGCTCTTGTCATTCTTCGTGCAAAGGAAATAAACACAACTTGAAAAATCTTCCCTATGTTAACTTCAAAACTGAAGCAAAACATCTACCTCCTCTAAACCAAAATGTACAGGCTAAGACAAGGCTTTTCATCAACAAACTGAAAAGCCCTCAAAGACATTCCCACGAAGCTGGCATAATTTTCAATAGGAAAAAAGATGGACTGCAGTAACTCCTTGAAAACACATTATTTGTATTATACGAAGTACTAATAGTAAACAGTACAAATGAAACTAATGTTAAAGTTGTTTTTGTAAACACCTGCAAAATTGTTTTCTTTCCACAAGCATTACTTAGGGGTAAATTCCTTTCATGAAGTGAGAATAGAATAGCAAAATAAGAAACTTAGACTGCTAGACTGTGAAACAGTTAACTTTGGTAAATAATGTCTTATCTGAAGATAAAGATGAGAGAACAAAACAGAGTTTTTTAGGAAAACACTTTCTGACATTATTTGTGTGCATGAAGTATTTCTGTATAATGCTAAACTTAAGCATGTTTGGGGTCTTTAACAATAGTGCAATTGTAACTTTGAGTTACTGTGAAGTGTGTGCTCTCTACAGATCAAGTCATTGTCCTCAACATTTGAAAGCTGTGATGAGAGAGACAAATTACATAGCTTAAGAAATGGTTTTCCCTTGACCGATTCTAGTAAAGTGGAATTTCTTCAGAGCTCTTGATACAATTTCCTCCTCACTAAAAAGAAGCTACCTAAGAGTTACCATGATGGCAAAACAGTAGGAGTGGAGTGTAAACCTGTACTGCTTCCAGGGAAAACATGATTCTTCTGTAGCTGAAGTGAGGATAATCAAATCTTAAAGAACCCTACTTTCTTCCTTCCCCTTCTGCTGTGATAGTGTTTTATCTCTAATCTATTGGCTCAAACCTGTTTTTTCATTTCTACAAACATAATTCGTCCGCACAGACTCCATATTCAGTGATTTATAACCTAAAAGGGACCTCAGTAGTGACAGATAGGGAGGTGGAAAGGAGTAAGTAAAAGGAAGAAACCAAGAAGGAAGGGAAATCTGTTTTAACCAAATGGATATAAGCAAGAAAAAATGAGGGAAAGGGACAAAAGCAAATATGGGCAGAAAAAGAGAAAAGGAGAAGTTAAATGATCTGATGAGAACATCATGAGGTCTAGAGCCAAGGCAATTATCAATCCTATCTGTCTAGACAATCAGCAGCATCAATAGCCATCATTGATAACATTTTTTTGTCAGTTTTATCTTGTTCATTACTTTCAAGGTTTCCTCAGGACTCCAGTAAACCCATGCCTTCTGGCAGGTGTTAAGTGTTTGTTATATGGACTAGAAGAGGGATTGTTTTGCAGGACTGCTGTGAGTAAAAGTAGCAAAATCATGGGATGATTCCAAATAAGAAGACTCTTTTAGTTAACAGAAAGATTCACGTTGCTATTCCAGTGGTTGCAATCGATATTATATTCGATATGGAACAATATGGAAGGGCAGTGTTGTTTTCACATCATTGTTTTCCTGTCTTTAGCCTCATTTCAAAGCACAGGAGTCATATTGATTTAGATTTTACCATTGGGTATCTTCTGAGTAAAGGTCATAGAATGTGGTCAAAACATAATACAATGCAATGGGCAATATATGAACCATAAAGAGATTTACAGAGAAACTTTATTAGGGCTCAGTCTACAAAGCTGTTGATTATGGCAAGAAATTTAGTAGAAAATTTGGAAGCCTTTTACATGGAGTGATGAGTCATTATCAATAAAATGGAATAGGGAAAAATGCTGATATCAATCATTCTTTTATCATCTTTTTTTTTTTTCCTTTTTCATAGGCAGAAGTGCTGTGCCAAAAAGACATGATGGTAGAGCACTATCTTACCTTTTTACAAATATTTAAAACGTCATGTTGTCTGGGAAGAGAAGCCAAATTAAACATTACCTAACCCTCCAGTGCTTTAGCATTGGTCACAGATGTCCTAGAAGAGAACATGCTGAGGTGCTTCATGGCCATAAAGCAAATGTGTTCCACTTGATAGTAAAACCACAGCAGGAAGAAGTTCAAACTGGAGTTTGAAGTTAATACACAAGTTAATGTGAAATGCAGCTGTGCAACATTTCTAGAATACTAGTACCAGAGAGGATGTTTCAATGAAGGGGTGACCTCCAAAGGTCTCAAGGACCAATGCATTTAACTAGACAGAAGTGTGTCCAGAAAGAGGAACTGTAAAAGGAAAATAAACAGTGGTCCTGCAAATTCATTCCTTGTATATGTCAAATTACTTATGCTCTTCATCATTTTAGGAGCTTGTGGGGTTTTTTATTTTTCTATGTGATGAGAGAGGCCTGCTTCTGCATTCTGCTTGAGTGTTACCTTCAAAACATGAATGCTGATTCCCAAACTACAGTTTCTTTCCTTAAGTGGCATTGAAAAACCAAGGAAGAGCAAAACCAGAAGCAAGAGAGAGTGGAACTCACAGACTGACAATATTTGATCTTGTCTGCCTTTACTGGATGATTGCTTGTAGAATTAGAAAGAAAACTCTTTCTATTTCTTTCTAAGAAACTTTTTGTGTACAAAAAGGGTTTTTGTTAGTGTTGTTTCATCCATTTGCATTGTCTTTTGGTGCTTCCACAAGAAAAAAACCCCAAACAACAAAACATTTGTATTTAAGAATGAATGTTTATCACTTCAAAAGGTAATATAGTCTTTGAATGTTACCCATTAACTAGGGTTAATATAGTTAGTTATTCTTTTTCTGGGTGTGTTAATGCGTAATTTATTCAGGCTGGGATAGTATCTTCATGTCAGTGAAGTGATGACAGTGTACTGAAGGGAAAGCTGTCCCTCATAATGTGTATCTGATGTGTGCATTGTCCATGTTTTTAAGTGCAACCAGTGCTCATCATTCCATGAGACAAATTGTCTACAATGGAAAACCAAGAAAAAATATTTGAAAGGAACGATTTCATGTCAATGATAATTAGAGAGGGGCCAATGCTGCAGCAGATTACTGGTGAACATTCACAGGCACTGGTTATTGTTTTCAGGAATGTAGGCAGAAAGTGAAAATTCTAATGAATTCTTACATAACTATGTAACAATGCAGAAATTTGAATCCAAGGAACCACATAAAGGGATTTTTGAAAACAATCAAGTTTACTTAGTTTGAAGTAAACTAAGTAGGTTTTTAAACTGAAGAGTGATAAGGGTTTCATTGCTGTCAAAATGGCAAAGGCTGTGGAACACATTGCAATCCAAGTACCAGGTACACTTTGATTGATTAAGACAGTATGATTCAGAGTTCACTGAAGTAAAGAGAAATTTTTATTTTGATAGACCTGTGCTTTGGTCTGAAATTGAGATTATAATGGTTCTTCTAAAAGAACTAAGGGTAATTACACTTATTTGTAGTGGTGCACTAGTGCTGGGCATTTTGTGGATCTGCCTCATGGTTATGTTTACTTGTTTGTTATATAGTAACTTTAAGACACAAATACCCACAAAATGCCATCTGTCTTCATACCTGGCATACCATCAGCATATTCCAGACACGAGCCATCTGACAAGTAATTTTCCATAGCAGAACTGATCACTGAGTGCTCAGATGTGGCAGTTACTATATTTCTAAGGGTGATGGAATATAGTATGAGAATATGATATAAAAATGTAATTGAAATGGATCTGGATTAATAGAGGATGGGAAAAGAAAAACAAAGGCTGAAGGCAGAGGTCTGCGTAAATGAGAAGCAGCCGGCGTGCTAGATCTTATCAGATGTTTTGTCTCTCAAATGTGCATGAAGAATGAATGAAAATGAAAAAGAAATATTTAAGGAGAGAATTCTACTTTTCTAGAGCTGTAAAAGTCAAAAGAAAATAGTTACATGACACAGAGCAAAGTTCTTCCAGTCTTTTGTTAGGAAAGACATGTATTTACAGAGTTTGTATCTATCCTGTAAAACCTCAACACACAGCTGGAAGCACAACATAGGTCCCAGAATTAGGGGAGAGACAAACTGAAGAAGCAGCTGCCCTGAGCTGTCACTAGTACTCCTGCACTACTTCGTACTCAGTTGAATTGCTAAGATAACCAATCTTGCACAGGTTGAATCCAGAAAGTTTCCAAGAACTGAGTTAATTAGTGAAATACCCTAAAGTTAACTAACTCCCCTGCCAAGAAATGGGCTCTTCCATTTTCCTCACATGATTATCTAGGCACTTTCACTTTTCCATATATAGGAGCAGCTCAGGGACTGACAGATCAGGCTAGGTAGGGATACAGACTTCAGGCACATGCGTTCTCCTTGTGTGCATGCACAGATGCAAGCATATGCTGCTTTCACACACTGAAATTCAAGTTAGCCAAAGAGGTGACAAGTGAAGACACTGATAGTCCTGCTGATAAAGAACCTTCTCCTTAAAGAGAAGGCACTAAAGGTAGAACTCTTCGACCACTGTTTATAGTAACTCATCAGGAAAAGCATCACAGCCATGAATGGACCAGTGGATGGTTTATGTGATTACACGCTGGACGATGAAGGGGCTTTCATGTTCACATCGGAGTCAGTGGGAGAAGGACATCCAGGTAAGAAACCAGCTCTGGTAAAAGTGTAAAAAGAATAATATTTTCATTTAAGATGGATCTTTTTAAAAAGTCTGAAGAAGAATTTATCTGCTATTAATTTTATTATAGAAGTTATATGTAGCGGGGTGCTTTTTACTTCTTTTCTACTTACTGGACTACAGAACTGCTCTAACTAGTGTGCTTCCAACAGTTTACGTGCTTTTGCAGGGTGTGTGTTAAACTGAGGAGGGCACTGAGTTTTATGTTGCTGCTCCTTCCTTTTCATCTGAATTTCTTTCAGTATTCCTGTGGAGACACTACTGTGTCTCTGACAGACTCAAGTTTCACATATGGATAAGAATGCATAGCTTACTTCTCAAGTTCTATATCTTTATGGGCCCTGTGAAACTGTCCTCCACATATGCAATGCTCTAAAACTGTCACCCCACGACTGGAATATCCCTAAGCAGTCTGTTTTAAAGCCTTTTTTTAGTGGTCCCAGCAGCTGTACAGGGCAAAACTGCTGATTTCCAACCCCACTGCCTCCCACCCCTTTCCATCATCTGATGCAATATATGGAATTGCTTAAGCAAATAGTGGACAGTTATTTGCTAAACTTTATGTATGGTCAGCAGAGATTAGTTCAATTTTATTGAAAACAAATATTCATCCACCATAAACATGTACCTTATGTCAACAGCAACTGTTCCCTCAAGTGAGGCCAGGGGACAATAGGCTATTTGATGTCCTGAAAAGTGTATTTGTTTTAGAAGCCAATTTGGTGGCCTGTACTTTTTGCTATAATAAGGCTTTTTCAGGTCTGTGTTTTATGTTATGTGAGTAACTCATAAATGGGTGGAATGACATAGTAGAGGATAAAAAGGTCGGCAATGAGAATTTGTGTCTATAGTTCTGATACTCCTATGATATAAACTTATTACTGCAGATGAAATCCATGGCTGATGCAATTGAGTATGTCTCCATCAATGGGGAGGCAGCTACATCAGGTTGAACCAGTTGGGGTTCTTTCTGATGTAACACAATCAGAAAATGACAGCCAGGTTTTGTCCTTGGGACGTAGGTCCCATCTCACATTTATGTATAATTACATGCAGCATTTGTAGTGCTATGTAGTTTCATAGAAAAAAAATAACATTATACAATATGGTAATTTTAAATGGATGATGGTATTTCCAAAGATGACAGGTCACAATTTATGCTACTCTAATCATTATTTTTAATCCTCTTGGGGCAATAATAGGGAAGTCTCAGAGCAGAAAGAGTGCAACTGAGTCCCCAGGTTTAGCTTTGTCCCTTGATTTCTTTCCTTTACTGGTTCTCTTTTTATCTTGTTTCTTGTTTTAGAATTTGGCCTATTTTTCAGTTCTTCTTCACATTCTCTTCTTTATTTCCAAACACTCTATAGGCCCTCAGTAACTTTCTTTTAAGGCCCATGAACATTATTTTTCTCCTGTGTTAAACATTGGGAAACACTGTTACCACTTGTCTGATGTGTGTACAGCCCCTTACCCTGGTGGGTCTCTGGGTACTCTGAGATGCAAAGTGACCACTTGGAGGTTCCTTGTGGAGTGAGTAGAAAATGGAAAATTACTTGGATGTTTTCAAGACTGTGATGCCTGTACTTTCTTAAACAGCCTAGATCTCCATGTAGGGTACTGAAAACCCAAACCCTATGGCAAAGGGAAGATACAGATTTTCCAGATCAAAGGCAGGCAGGTTGGCAGTAAGTAACTCTGGGTGGTCCAGCAAATTCTTGTTCCTGAACATAGCCCAGCAAGGGAGCCTAATTGTCTCAGCTGTTCCTGACAGCAAATTGATCTCCCTTACATCCTGGCCAACTCCCCCTTTTCCTTCTCTGGTTCTGTACAAGAGGTGTAGACATGCCGCTAGGGTTTTATCACCCAGGAAAATCTTGGCTATTTCTTAAAATGGGGCCCAGTGCCCGGGGCTGTAGTTGGGCTTCTGACATTATCTGTAGCAATAGGATTTTATTGTGAGTTTTGATTTCCTCTGTTTATACAAAATGGATAATTTGCGTGTTCTTGATTATTTCTCTTCCGTATCTGATAGCATAATTTTGCTAGAGGGCATTATGTGAAGTAAAGATCCTGAACTGCATCTTTGTCTGGTGGAAATTTGAATTGTTCTGATTATATTAGCTGAGGACTGAGCACATTAATGGAGACCTCCTCCTTAATGCACAAAGCAGGAGAAATTATGTGCTTATTTATTTTATACCTGTACAATGCCTGGAGCTGGGTGTCACTGAGAAGCCCAAATTCCATGGAAGCAAGTAATAGCTGCCAGTAATTGACACACAGGTATTACCTCTGCTCCCCAGAGATATTTTAGGAGACTGTTTATCCCATCTTCTCAGTCCAGATTCTTGGGTGTAACATTTGGGAATCCCTTTCAGATCTTTAATCGTTTAGTCATTTAGTGGGGTAAATTCCAAATTTTCTGAAGAGATCTGCATTTCAATAGAATAATAAAAGCACACAGACAGTAGCATGAGCAAGAGAAAGATTCTGTCTTTAGTTAGCTGGTTTTTGTCACTGCTCCATTTTGCTTAGTCCAGTCGTGTCTGTGCTGCATGAGAGTTTCATGATGCTTTGAAAGGCATTGAGTGTTTCTCTACCCCACAATGTCTTACAGATGTCAAACCACTTAGGAATGATTCCTTCCCCTATTTGGTGTGACTTCAGGTGGAATTTCCTGCAAACTAAATGTCGTTCAGTTTTCCAGAAAGTATCAAGGAATCTTTAAAAATATAAGAGCAAACATCTGCTAAAAGCACCCTCAGATTTTCAACTATATTAAAAGCATCTGTTTATCTCTTAGATATTCACAGGGGGAAAAAAAAATCACAAAAGAAAAAAAAAAAACCAACAAACCAGAAAATAC